AATTATGCATTAAAGACAAAATGTGTCTTTAATGTGTCAGTGTTATTGCTTCTTTATCATCAAAATCATAATACAATATTGTATTGCCTAATTTAAGTCACTATAAAAATGTTGTATTTGTAATTATAATTAGTAGCATCACTGATAGTGATGGAGTTAGGGTAGTAGTTGTATTGGATACATTTAAAAAATTGGTTAAATGCCTATTTTATTGTCACGTGCACCATCACTTTTATCCACAACCAGAGTGAAAATCAAGAGCAGATTATGGTCCCATGGTGCATTTGTGCCAGTGATCTGTAGACCTAATTATTCATTTCCTCTTTGAAGAATACTGTAAAGTGGGGTAACTTGCTAGTTTGCAACAGAACCATAAACAAATATGTCTTACAGTGGATTACATATGTACACAGAAATACTGCTTATACGTGTGTGCTTTTAATAAAATAAAATACTAGGCTATATGTCATCTTACAATTACATAAAAGGTTTATCTGTGTATTCTCCTGTAATTTGCAGCTGAGGTTCCAACATTAACCTTAAAATGATTACACTTGACTTTGTTTTCCTTATTTTCTATTCAGTACTGAAGACATGCTTTCAGTGTAGTTAAAACAAGTGGTGAAAGGGAAGACTACAGAATGGATGTTAAAATACAGCAAATATTAGGTGTGATATCCATGGCATGACCACCACTAACTGCTAACTAACACAGGAACGTTTGCAGTAATCTCCTTCCATTGAGGACAGACACAAACACTCACACATGCAGAGGATTCTCACCCTGCGGGTTACAGAGCTCAACAGCTGACAAAGTGGGGGAGGATGGACACACACACACACACACACACTATAAACTGCATGCATACCTACACACAGGCACACATTTATGTGTGAATGAGAGTGCAAGAGAACACACACATATTTAATTTGGTAGATGTCATTTTAGACTGCAAATTCACAGACACACATGCTTTTTTGGCTTTTAGTGATCACTCAGCACACACACACACACAAACCGCTGTTAGCATTTAGGCTGTAAATGTGACCTGCCTAGTATTTATTCATTGGGAGACCTTTAGAAACAAGACACAGGATTCTAATTTATACCCCTGAACTTTACAGCCATGCCAGTCCATCTCTCTCTCTTTCTCTCCCTCTCTTTCTCTCTCTTTCTCGTATGTTTGTTAGGTTAAAGCTTGTGTTTTAATTAAATAAATAAAGCTTGAGGTCATTTAAAAGTAAAGGAAATTAAAAATATTTGCATTTTTCCAAAGCTACATATAAGTATGAATGTGATGTACTGTGTGCTACATCAGATAACAGTTAAATTTACCATAGTTTATTCAGTATTCAGTGTAACTACTTTGCAGAAATAAGTCTGATCTAATTCTACTTTAGTTAGTGATATCACATTTCATACTTTTTATTTAAACTGCATTTTTCAGAAAACCCACAGAAAATATGCTTAAATATGCTTTCTAATAGTGTAGGTGGAAAGAGAAATAGTGCGATGAGAGCAAGAAATAATCTTTATCCATTATCTAAAAGCTTCCCTTAAAGGTTTGGTGTGTCAGGGTCCCTAAAGCTGCACTCAGACTGAAAACAGCCCTGTGTTGGTGGAAGCATGTTGTTGATTCTGGCACACGTGACACAATGAAATACGATATAGGACATCAGGGTTGAGTAATTAATCCATGAATTTGAAGACAACAAAACACTGCACAGAAAAAGGAAAGCATGTAAAGTTATCACAATGTCAGTCACTTTATCCTTCAGTGTGGCGATCGGCAGGTAAACAGTAGAAATAAAACATTCAAGCTACAAAGTATTCTACCTCCTCACATCTGTTTGATCAAATGCAAATACTGAATGCAAATTCACTACCTTGCTGGATGACATACAAATCGGTTAAACACAATCGCATAATTGGGCCTAGAAATGCTCCATATGAAATGTTTCATAACCAACAGCTGTCTGTTAACAGTTGTGAGGCAGATTTTTTTAAATCCACTCCAAAAAAAAAACTTTGTCAGTGCACAGGAGCACACATGCATGGTCCACACACAATACCACATCCCCAGCAGCACTGGTACTTGTGTGCGTGTGTGTGAGAGAGGGAAAGAGAGGGAGAAAGTGACTGTGTTTATACATCTCTGCATCAGTCCACACAGCTGAACCAAGGCAATGTACTGTACATGGCCCTACGCTCACATGTACTTGTTGTCTGTCTCAATACATATATATATATATATATATATATTTATATATATTCTTACCCCGCTCATATGTTTTATCTAGTCTCTGCATAGACTCAAACCTCAAACCTCCCTCAGTGTTCCTCACACAGTTTTTGACTTTTGGGTTTTTATTTTTAGTGTCCGGTAGCTAACTGACATCAGAATGACACCCCTTGTCAACAGAGGCCAGCAAGGCTGGCAATAGACATGGCATTGATCCCAGACACATCTTTTAAATGTTATTAATTGCACAATGACTCACTCCTTCCCTTACCTCCTTCATCAACGCCTTCTGTGCCCCCCATGGCCAGCCACATTCTCACACCCTCTTTCATCACCTTAGGCCTGCTGGCTAAAACATGGAGGGAGGTGGGCTATCTAGAATCCATCTACAAAGAATAGAGTGCCTAAGACAGAGATCATAGACTGTATCCATTGGTTAGGTGCAAAATAGATTGACTCAAAGGAATCTTCTGTTGCGGAGCACCCGCAGTTATGCCCTTCCAGGCCAACCAAGTCAAAACCATAGCCACAGCCACCTCCAGAAACCTCACTAATGAAGGACATTAATGACTGCTACGCTATAGGGTGTTTGATAGACTTTAGTCCTGCAGTTGCCATTTTAAACTTAGGTCACCTTTTATGCGGGAAGCTCAACACATACAGTATAACAAAATAGGCCTTAAATTTGGGCCACAATGGTTAGCTAACCCTAGCCTATATAGCTAACTAGTTGGAAGCTATTTATGTAACCCCTGATTGGCTATATCCTCATTGTCCTGGGTGTGTGTTTGCCTGTGGGTCAGCCAAAGCCAATAAAAGATTATTCAACCCCTGTTGTATCCCTTAATCCCCTCCCACTCCTCCATCATGCCTCCCCCCACCTCCCCTCCCCTCCCTCCCTTCCCTGTGCACGGGATTGTAGCGCTGCTAAGACTAACATGCGCCCCCCCCAGGTTTATTTCATTTTCTCTTCGACCATCGAGGTCAGATTTAAGTATTCATCCCCAGGGGCATCTTTGGGATGGCATTCAGCTGTGGCAATGACATAAACCCTAACGAAAAGGTCACAGAGCGGCGCACTGTGTCCTTGTGCGCACACATCGACCTGGTCCCAATGTCCATGCATTGGAAAATCTCAACGAGAGCGAGAGGTAGTGGTGAAAAAAGATGAAGAAAGCGAAGGAAAAAAGACAGTTGACTGGCATTGAGCTGGAAATGTGAGCGTGGTTATGGCAAAGCCAGAGCCAGTAGAAGGGTCGGGGGGTGGCGACGGGAAGAGGGGGATCATTTTGACAAAGTTGTTTGGGCCAACGTAGATCATAGCGCTAGCGAAGTGGGTATCCTTGGTCTAGCATCTGAGGTGGGGAAACCGCACCTTTTGGTCAATGTGTACTAGTAAATGATTCAACTGATAAACCCAACGCGAGATTTTGTATACTGGGCCAAACTGTAATGGTTACAAAGGAGTGGCAATGTGATTTATCAGAATTCAGGGGTAATGACATGACTCAAAAAAATCCAGTGTGTTTCCAACTCAATTAATATAGTGTGTTTTAATCCCCTAAAAAAACAAAACCAAACTTTTTTTAATATTCGATTATGGCATGGAGGGTTTTGGGCAAGTGAACATTTAATGCTTGTCCACCACTGGGAACAATACAAGACCAGTTTCTCATTTTACTTATTCAGACTTAAAACGAGATTTACACAAATAACACACCCACACAAAATATTATAAGCACACTCCTCAAGGGACAGCAAGGTTAATCCCATCACTCACCTCAGTGTTCCCGGTGCACCACACCCATTTGATGGCAAGTGAAGCACGCTTCCAGGATCTGCTGGATGCAATGACTGCATGCAAACACCAAAGGAGCGCATGTTAGTCTTAGCAGCCGCTAACAATCCCCGTGCCACAAGGGAAGGGAGGGAAGTGGAGGGAGGTGTGGGGGCATGATGGAGGATGGGAGGGATTAGGGATACAACAGGGGTGAAGGTAATCTTTTATTGCTTTGGCTGCCACCAGGTCTAAACACACAACAATGAGGGGGGAAAGTATAAAGCCAACAGGGGTTAAACATAAATAGCTTCCAAACTAGTTAGCTTATATAGCCAGGCTAGGTTAGCTAACCATTTGTGGCCCAACATTTAAGGCTAATTTGTTATACTTCGAATAATGAATTGAAGCTTCCCGCACTTAAAAGGTGACCTATAGCTATAAGGCAACTGCAGGATGAAAGTCTAAGTCAAAACCACCCCTACTAGCGTCGCCCAGTCATAGTGAATGATCCTTCATTAGTTAAGAGGTTTTTCTGGGAGGTCTGGCTGGGTGGCTATGGTAATGACTTGGTTGGCCTGGGAAAAGGGCTAACTGCGGGTGCTCCTGCAACAGATAAGATCCTTGTAGTCCAATCATGATTTTTGCACCCCTTAACGCCAATGGATACAGGTCCTTATGATCTTCTAGTCTTATAAGGCACTCCTATTCTATTGTAGATGTGAATTCTAGATAGGCATCCCTCCAATGTTTTAGCCAGCAGTGCGCGCGCTAAGGTGATGAAAGAGGTGTGCCAAATATGGGACTGCCCATGGGGGGGGCACAGAAGGGCGTTGATGAAGGAGGTAAGGGAATAGGCAGAGAGTCATTGTGCCAATTAATAACTTTTAAAAGAGTGTGTCTGGGATCAATGC